CAGCTATGTAGCATACCTTTTAATTTCCCAACCTGTTGCCTTTGACAGTGGAATTAAAAAAAAAATATTTGATTTCATCTGAGCTCTTCCCTTAGCTTCCTTGGTAGCTTTTAACTGTTTCTCCTATACACAGCTGGACTAAGGCATAGTGTCATCTGTTCACCTTCAAAGAATATTTCAAGGATCTCCAACTATCATGATAAATGGAGAATTTACTCTGGCTTTCTGCTGAACATGCTTTTCGAATTCATAGTGCCCAAATGAAACAGACTCTTCACCTGTGATTTCAGACTCCACTTTGCATGTCCCCACCCTTCAGTGAGCGCCGCTGTGTCCTTCGTGATTTTGCAGAGTCCCATCAAGAAGTCATTAAGGCTAAAGACTGATCTTCCTTAGATGTCTGTAATAGTTGCACACGCACTCAGCTATGTGCTTTTTAAATCAACAGTATTTAACAAATGTACCATGAAGCATAATATTGGGCCTATATGATGAACAAAACCTCTTTCTCGGATCTTAACAAGCAATGGCCCTTTTATTAAAATGTATTCACTTTAGAAAGGTCTGAATGAGCAAAATACCTTCTGCATATTTATGTTTTCTCAGCCATGTAGGAACCACATCATTTTTCTGGATTCCCTGACTTAATTTATACTACTTTGAATCATTTAAATAATGACCCATTTCATATCAGTTTACATCTTACACTGCACATCATCAAAAAGAAAAGAAAAATACTGAGAAATTGGGAAGCATATACTAAGTTCAACACCAACGCCTCTGAGTTCTCTGTGAAAACTCAGAGTTTTCGGGAAAAAAGTTACACCTGATTTTTTTTTTCTAACCCAATTGTTTATTTCTTTGAATATCCTTTTGATTCCTCTCAGCAATCACACACATTTCCACCCTGGATGAATTTTATTCTTGAAAAGATCCCCCTAAAGTTTTAAAGAATGATTTGACCAGAATTGCTGATGCCCATTCAAAATTACTGTCTCTTAGAAAGTCAGAACTCAGCAAAGGTTGCATTTTGAACAGAATAAAAACACGACACAGGGACTCCAAAATGGATGATTTTTTTAAAGGGTACGTGTGTAATCTTACCCTGGATCTTTCTTCTAATTTTGTCATCATAACAACAGTGGCACTGCGTTGCTCCCATATCATTCTCCAAAAGTCCCCAAATGTTTCGGGGAGAGAGCCCTGTGTTGCAATATAGGCATTTTGTTTCCTATAGCCATCTATGTAGTTGGCATTCACATAGTCACTTCCTGGGATGCCTGTAAAATAAGCAGTGTTATCAATTACATGAATATGCCATCAGAGGAAACAGCTTAGCACATGATCTAACTGCCAATATTACATTATCGTCTGACACTTGAGGACTGAAAACGCACTAAATTTCAGGATCTGAATGATTAAAAATAATATCATGTTTGAAGGAACACAATATTCAAAAAAATATTTATGATGAATAGATGACTAAAGAAAAAAAATACATTAGTTGGTCCACAGAGCACTTTTTCTCTTAAAGGTTGTCTACTTTCTCTGTTGTATCAGCAAAAAAATCATTCACAAATGATGATAAACAATAGGGTTGCATTATTCCCTTATGTTCTTCCCCATTCTCAGACAAAAACTAGACAACAGAAAATGCGTGAGTCGGAAAATGCATGATGGGTAGACTTTGTCATAATAGTGAAAACTTGTTTTGCAGGTTTAGTGAACAGACTATTCCTATAGAGACACTGACTCCTCATAAAATCCCTAGGAGCATTTTTTTCACTGAAGAGAAAACCGAGGTACATGGGTATTTAAAACACTTGGCTTGGTGGGCTGGCATTGTGGAATACCAGCCTTCCATATCCGGCTGCTCAGTTTCCAACTTCATTCCTGCAAATGGGCCTGGGAAAGCAGCAGAAGATGAGCCAAGTACCAGGGCCTCTGCAACCCAATAGGAAACCTGGATGAAGTTTTAGGATCATACTTTTGGGCTAGCTTAGCACTGGCCAGTACAACCATTTGGGGGAGTGAACCAGTGGGTGGAAGATCTGCCTACCTCTCTCTTTCTCTCTAAATTTCCTGTTCAAGTAACCAATGATACCTATTTATCCATCTAGAATTTGACCTAGTCGTCCAGTTAGCATAGTCATGTTTAATCACAGGCAGGTCTCTCTGCTATGTCTGTGTCTCAGCCTCTTTGTATTCTCATTAAACCCTCGAGGGCTGCTGAAAGTTGCACAGGAAATTCTGGAGTATGACTACTGCCTCCTAATTAATGGTTTCACATCCAGATGTGTCCCTTGGAGTCTGTGTATAGCATAAGAGTAATTTAAACATACAGTTTTCAAACAGCGGTTTCAAAAACAAACAAAAAACGAAACAAAAAACCAGTGAACTCTTCATAGCCCAATGCTGTGTACTTTTCTAGACTCATCCCATTCCACTCAACTCCTTGCCTTTGACATTGATCTGCTTTAGCTCATAGATGACACTGCTGTCCAACTTGAATAGCATCCACTTCCCAGAACACACACTCTTTCTCCCTTAATAAAACAATATGTCAACCCTGTAGAAGGGCCATCGTTAAGTAGGACTGTATTCTGCTTATTACCAGTAGTAATCATGTACACGTTAAGTTCCTCATGACCCGTTACTACTTCTGTAACATGTCTCTTTATTCAAATTTATTACCATTAGTGAAGAAAAAAAAGAAATAATTTGCCCCAATTCTAATGTTTAAGTGTCAGAGCTGAAATCTAATGGATATACTTTGATTTAAAGTCTTATTTTTCTTTTAGAACAATGCATTTTTAGAGGGATATAAGCAAATCTGAACTTGCAAGGAATGTGGCCAAAATGATTAAATAAATAAAAGCAATTCCCTAAGAGAAAGGAATGCATTTTAACACGCAGTAAAGGTAAGGCAGCAATTGGGGATATGGGATGCGAGTATCTGAAAAGAAGATTAGATTTATTCTGTTGAGATCAAAGTTTTTCAATTCCACAGAGAGATGAATTTCACCTTCAATACAATACAGAACTTTCAAATAGAGCCAAAAAGAGCATAGATTTCTTTGGGGGGTAATGAGTTGCCTGGCCCTGGAGGGGAACAAGCATTTCACAAAGGTATCTGTGTGTTATAGGAGGTAGGGGTAGAACCTGTACAGGGTTTCTTCTAGCCTTGGGAAACTACAAGTCCCGGTATTATGTGAAAACATTTTTTCTTTGTAATGGAACATATGTTCCCAAGCTAAAATTGTTATATTTCACTGATTGCCACTTGCAATTACTTTGACTGCTTTCCTCATTTGAGTTATAAAACTGATCCTCTCAAGGAACGTAATGAAAGTCAGATGGAAACTAATCTGCTCTGAGATGAACACACGGATATGGAATACCACCAGCGTCAGCTGAAAAGCCTTTTGAGCAAAAACTGAAATGCACGGTTGGTTGTAACATTATTCATCTATTACAGCTACTCAGGAAGCAGCTGAGATTCTGGCAGCCCTTTGTTGATAAAGATCCTACTCTATCCTGATACCAAATTACAGAGAAATTCAAAGGACATTTTAAATGAAATCCTTAGGTTACAGCCACTGGGAGGTACATACATCGCACCTGTCCACAGGATCTGGTGCTGGGACAAGTCGGAATCCATAGTACAATGTAAGAGAAGCCTACTTTCACATTTTTAATTTAGCAGCTAAGAACAGTCAAGAACTGATAGAACAGATTCTGGCTAAGAGCCTCAATCGCTTGTCAACGTACAGGAATCCTTTCTTCCAGCAGAATTTAGAATGGAGAAATCTGGAGTAGCTGATTCAGAAAGTGTATCACCTGGACCTTGTGTCATCCTCCCTGCCCTTAATAAGGGTAACCCACAGCTCAACTACACGTCTAAGGACCGCATGCACGTCATCACTGAAGGAAGGGAATCAGAGCCTTCCAAGCTTGCTTGTGCAAATATTTCAGTTATAATGTAACAGGGTATTTTTTTTAATGTACTGTTCAAATGGGCACAACTGAGGTTTGAGTTGGGGATGGGCTTCTAAGCACAGAAAAAAATCTGTCTGAAGTCCACTGGGCACCAGGATCACTACTGTATCATCCAATATATATGATATTATATACACAGATATAGGAATATATACATATATACACATACGTATACATACACACATATATCCTGATATTTGGAACATATATCAACTGAAAATGGAACCCTGTTGTCTCCTAGAGCAACTGTTAGGATAATGTTTATATCATGAACATAAAGCTGAGGTTCCACTTCCATCTTGATACTTGGGTGTAGGGAGATACAGACAAGTGGCTTTCCAGAATGAAAGTCTCCTTGTGGCAAGCCCTTCTACCCATCCTGGCAGAAACACACACCAGCAACTTCTCTCTCACATGCACATCCTCTGCCATGCGGAGATATGACAGCTGGCCAAGCTCTCCGTGAGGTCTGAGATCGACTGACATAACATAACAAGCTTTGCAGAGAGCGGAAGGAGAAGGTCGTTTGTCCTTTTGAAAAACGTTAACCCCAGACTGGAGGCGAAAGTCAACCAGCAGTCTCAAGGAGAAGAGAACCACTCTCTTCAAGATAGAGCTTCCAATCAACTCTGTGAAAGACACAACATGCTGGTGTGCAGAATGCTTCAGCGCCATGGAATATTTCTTCAGTAACTCTTGATTAGGAGGTTTCTGCAGGAAGGCTATACCTACAAAATGCTTCTACACTGTAGGAATTACCTCCTGCAACTTACCCACATTTGATCATTTAATTTTAATTTAATGCTTTATCCAGAAAATGATTTCCATCTGCTAAGGCAACAACACTAACCAGAGTGCACTACTGATCCAAACGAAGTGTGGGAGAATTAATCGAATTCCTCTAGGGCCATGATGGATACAAATCTAACTTCACATGCAGTAATGAAGGAATAGAATTCCTATAAACTAGCTCATTACTTTTATTTTTTGCAAAGAATTTTTAAAATATGGAATGCTTCACGAATTTGCGATCATCCTTGCGCAGAGACCATGATAATCTCTGTATCGTCCTATTTGTTGTATATGTGCTAGCAAAGTGAGCACAAAGAAGTTTTATAAAAGAAGTTGTTGCTGTGGATTTTCTGTTTGTGGCAGGGGAAAGAATAATTAATGGGGAGAATAACTAAGATGATTGCCTTCTTCTCCCCAGGGGCAAAATTGTGGAATGGGCCTTTCTGTAAGGTATCTCCTGAAATGAGTTGCTCTTATTGACCAAAAGAGTAGGATGATGTGACATCTGCTTTCCGAGCAGCACATAGGTTCACTACATTTATAAGCATGAGCAGGCTTTCCTGATTTCTTACGGATTGTTTCATGTGCATTCTCCAATTAATAATAGTAATGCAAACAGACCCAACCCCCCAAATAATTAGCACATCATCTTTCACATGAGAAACCTGTAGTTAAACCCACTGACTTCTCATATTATACCAATGATATCCATTCCTGTATCATAGTATATTGCATCATTTCATGGTCGGCTCTTTCTTGTGGCAGTTAAACATACGCGTTCCATGTTTCATATGAGGTTTCTGGGTTTTGGGTTCACTAAACATGGAGCTTAAACTCAAGCCTTTCAAACAGAGATGGTGATAATGTGAGGCCAGAGAAAGGGGAGAATTTGCTCTTTTTATGTATAACAAGCTCTAGCAAGCAGCCACTGGAACAAAGTCAGCAAAGTTTTAGTTCCAGTTTTCAGCAGATAAATTACCCTGGGCATGGATTTGGACCAATCATCCATAAAACTGTACAAAGTTAATTTTATCATGAGTTATAAACATGAGACTGAAGGGACCAGGCTACTTCTCGCTGCTTCGATGCCTGAGTATAAACAGCAGAAGGGATCCTGAGAAAGGTAGCGTGGCTTTCTTTGAAAGAATATTCATGATGAATAACTCATTTCGATCTTGAAACTGGTGTTGCCATGTCACAGAATTTACTGTCTGAACCATTTTGTCTTAACAGGGCTAAATGAGTTTTTTTTAATCCCTTGATTATTAGAGAACTAATGGAAGTGTGGCTCTCTGAGAAGTAACAACAAAAACAAAAAAGACAATGCTCAAGATGTCATGGATTAGATTTCTCGTCAGATGTTAATGTGATTTTTAAAAAACTCCTCTTATTGGGTATGGTGAATTTGTAATTATCAAAGTCTGATGTCCAGTGGAAGGGCAGGGTCCAAAACAACAAGTGAATGCTTTTGTCAATATGATACTAAGTAATCTAAAGAAAACATTTGCACTTTGGTGTCTCATAAAACTGTGGGAATCATGTATGCAATTTTATAGTCTTAGATGAATGAATACCAATATCATTTACTCAAAATGTACATAAATTCATCAGGTTGCAGGACCCCAGTCATGGGCTGCTAGTAGACCAATGGCTGCCTGACATTTTGCAAGTTGTTCAACTCGTCCAGGTCTGATTGCTTTTCTGCTAAGACAAACAGACTCCTTTGAGTACTTTGCAGTTCTACAATAAAGTATCTTTTCCTCTTGGATTGGGAAGTCTCTGTGGTGGCTTTTTTCAGAAGGATGTTTCGTATCAGAGTAGGTGGGAAAAAGTCTCTGACACTTTTTCTAGTAACTTCCTATCATTCCATCTTTGATAATTTTGATTTTTTTCAGTAACAATGAGTGGCACCTGGTGGAGTAAAACGTAAACAAAATGAAAACATGAGGACTTAGCGGTAATGGGCTAGGGAGTGATCTGTTCAGTGCTGGATGAGAATGAGTCAGAGAAGCCTTGGAAGAGGGCAGAATTCTCCCCACGGCTCCCACAGCCAAGTACTTCTGCTTTACAGATGGAGATGGGCATTTGGCTGAATGGCTTACCCTGCTGCTCTGACTCATAATGTGGCTTAAAAACGCAGGTACTTAAATTTCCTTTAGCATCCAAATCCTTAATTAAGTGACACTTGCAAAAATAAGAAATCTGCTTGTTGGTGAAACAGTTTATTCCCTGTTGTATGACAGAAGTGCTCAGAACCCAAAAGAACATAAAAGCCACCTATTATTGAGTAAGTAATATCCTCTCCTCGATGCTAGCATAGAACAATACCTAACAACCAAAAAAACAGGAAGACCACATTTAACACGAATCTATGATGAAATAACTTGTTTAATTCCAAAGGACACAGGCCTTCTTCGTCCTTCACTGCATACCAAAGCAGCTGCCCGTGGTTATATCAGAAGTGGCAAAACGAATCATTTTTTTTTTTTTGTAACACACCAGAGGGGGAAAAATAAACTTTTTTCCTTGCAAAGCTGCAGTGTATGCTTTGCCATGTAATCACCACATGCAGACATAGTTCGGCAAATGTTCCTATAAGAGGCATACTGTGTTTTATTTTTTTAAGCATGCATTTTTCGGTGGGCATTGTAACTCACTATTATGAACTAAGGGGAGAATGGCTGATAGAGTGTGTGAACTCAACCTATACCAGCTTCTGTTTCTATGTCATCTGTTTTATTTTGTACACCTCTGTTCTGCTGAGGAGCCTGGCTTTGCAGAATGGCCTCTGTAAGGAATTTGGGAGATCGAACTGTCTCGAGTACGCTGCAAGATTATTCGTAGGAGTTAGAGGTGTACAGTAGTCAAATCAAACATGGACTATGACTATAGGAACTGTGCCTGCAGGAACACGCAAAGCTTCAGTCTTCTCAACACTGCTAGATGCACGCCATCATCATAGTATCCTTGAGCCAACATATGCCATACGACTGTCAGCTGTTACTGTGACTGATATGATAAGCAGAAATGAAGTAAGTCCACACCACATTCTTAACTACTCTATTGATGAAAATAATTCCAAACCTTGAAAATGTCTTCCCACTTTCCTTTGTATTTAAAAATAAATAGCAGGGTAGACAAAATTAATTGCTTTACTATTTTCCAGTCATCTACAACCTGTGCTTTATATGCTAGGCAAGCCATATCACAAATGACACAGACTTCGTGATAGCCTAGAGCAATGGAGCGTAGATTCATTAGAGTAATCTGTAGAGATGTACAATGAAAATGAAAAAAAATTCCTAATAATTGAACTAAAGCTGTTAGAGATAAAAATAAACTCATTCCCTGAGCTTTCTGATTTATTCTTTGATTAGTTTCCTCAGTACAAGAGTAAAGAAAAAGAAAACCAATACAGCTACCACTTTAAAATGATTTTTCTTTTTTTTTCTTGGGCAAAAACATTAGCAGGTTTAGATTAAGATAGAGCTGGGGAATAGCAGATCCCCTCCATACTTGTCTAACTGCATTTAGAAAGCAGATGCTACGTCAATAGCTCTAATGAGATAGTGTTTACAAAGAGCTTTGACCCCTGTAAAATTATTTCAAATTTCCATGGTTAAGACCATCTAGGTTATTATGTAAGAGAAATTAACCTATTAAAAATTGTCTAGTGTGAGTGCTTGGTGGAATAGTTGGAGAACTTCATCTCATACGTGTGTAGTTAGCTCAAGCGCTGCGTACTCTGTTTCCAATCTGGCTTCTTGTTAACATGTACTCTGGTAGTTAGCAACTAATGGCTCCAGTCCTTGGGCCCTACTGCCCACTTCAGCAGCGCTGAACCCCAGGTTCCTGGCAATAGCCTGGCTCTTAGTTGACATTTGGAGAGCGAAACAGCAGATGGACAATCCCTCTTTATATGTGTGTGCGTTTTCTTTTAAATACAATAACATTTTAAAAAATGAAAACTTTTATCCACATACTGGTCCTCAAAAATAGTAATGCTTATCCCATGAAAAACACGAAAACAAATTAATTACATTTCGGACAACAGAATTTAAAGTGAATCAGTGGACAGGCTAAAGGAACTAGGTATGCTACCAGTCAAAATCAATGACTGATGCTCTGAACAATGTGAAAAAAAATGAACTCAACCAAAGCTTGGGATTGATTCAAACATAGATAATTATATATAAATCTAGCAGACTTTCTGGCCTAGAAATTTCTAGCTCACTAAATGGCCACAAACCATTCTCTAGTGATTAGGAAGGAGGGGGGGTGGTAACAGAAAATCGAAGGGGGAAAAAGAGATTGCTTTTGCTTAGGTGGGGGAAAAAACTGCAACTACCAAAGGAATTCTTAATTGGAGACAATAAATCAAATACTTTGATGTTAGAACTTGATATGGGATACTTAACATTCATTATAATTATATTTCTATTAGAAAATGTTGGGTATTGCATTAACTTATTTGGGTTTTTTGCTTTGGCATTGTTTTTACTTAATGCAAATCTATCAAGTTGCTGCACATAGCTTGAAAAAGAAGAAAAAGGTATTTTACAATCAAGAGTGCTGTGTGAAATTGGAGACTATTTTACCATGCGCTGACAGCTGTTTTTAATGAATAGGTATAGAGTTTACCCACTGAACTCAACAATAGAGAGGCTAAGATATTACTTAATACAGGCCACTGGTGTGTAGAGACAAATGGTGAATCAACACTACGTGAAAACATCAGTGGCTTCTTGTCTTGATTTATTCTTTAATTAGATTTATCTTAGGGGAAGTGATTCTCTGTGAGCTGTTTTCTCATTTGGAAGGTATTAAATTGCCCATCTTACAAATAATCAAGTTGTTACAGCATCATCTAGAGTATTTACATTCAGATTTTTTTGAACTGTTGGTATTATGCAAATCCAACAGATGACATATTTTGAATTTTTATGAAACAGAACATATATTTCCCACGTTGAAATTTGTAATGATATTATGGTCTGAATTCCATTTATCAGGCACTGATATTTTCGTATGCCTCACAGAGCTCTGCATGTAGGCTGTTTCTCATTTGGATATTATTCGTTTTTTTCATAGCCCATAGGCAAAAGAAATTCCATCAGAGGATAAAAGAGCCTCTCTGTCGTGGTAGTTCTTGTAAAATTCGTAAGACTAATGATACTTTTAACAGTTCCTAAGACTTGTTAGGCATTTTCTTGGTGCCAGCCCTCACAATGGCTGTACCTGTAATAATTCACTCAATCCTTCCAGTGACTCTAGGATGCAGGTATTAATAATCCTATTATACAGAGGAGGAA